AACTCACTTCGATAAACTGTCTTGATAATACTGACTGATTGAGTTCCATATACTGACTGAATTACACGTCGGTTTACATGTCTCTTATATAGTAAAATAAACCTGTGTGAACCTGTTCTGGAAGATTCTAGATGCTTCTTTTCAATGTTTCTCGATGCGTCTCGATGCTTCTGAATGTTTCTGGATACTTCTTGATGCTTCTGAATGCTTCCAGATGCTTCTTCTGGAAACTTATGGAAGCTACTGGATACTTCCTTTAATTATTAAAAAACTTCCGTGACGTTGACACGGACCAGACTTAAGAAAATGAAACAAACCAAAAAAGTTGCACTTGTTTTATATATTTGGTCTCAGGAGTGTTTATAATTGCACAGGTAAGGGTGGTCATGGGTTGTCAAGATATTTTCGTGATTTTTATTTACTTTATGTACTTAATTTCTTCGATATTATAAATATAGATAAATAACGTTCAATAAAGTTGATTATAAATAACGTCATATATAGTTGAAGATAAATAACGTTCAATAAAGTTGATTATAAATAACGTCATATACACGGCTGTTTCACTCAATATAAAAACGAGCGTGACGTCATGAGTTTATCAAAAAAAAAAAGTATTTCCGCATAAAAAGTATAAAAATTCACAAACTTTAAATTAATAGTAACTTTTTTATATAAATGCTTTCATCTTGCAATTAAAAAAATATAAAAGATCTATCTTTCCTTGTTAAATAAATATTTACATTAATTGGTATAAAAATAAATATTATTAAAATATTTTTAATAATTTAGAACCACTTTTCTAATTTTCGCATATTTTCCGGAAAACATGAGATGGGCCAACTAAGATTTCCTAACATAGCTCTGTACTTGATAGCTGAAATTCGGAACACTTAACCCTAAATGTCCATTCTATCAGATTCCTGCGTCATCCTAGAGATTTTTTTACAAAAAGACTGTTTTTAAAGCATTTATATTTTTTAATTAATCGTTTTTAAATGCAAAACGTAATTTTTTTGATGGATGACGTAAGTTAATAAAATTTCAACCTTTTATGCAAATGAAAATAAAAAAATTATTTTACGTACCTTTAGCTATGTTATGAAATATGTTTTCAAAAATGTCATGTTTTACAACTAATCTTGTTAGTTTTGTGTTGACGTTTTTTTGCGATGACGTAACCTTTATGCGTTACGTCCCAAACTATTTATTAACGAATATTCTCCAAACAACTGTTCGGCGAGTCAATTTTTGAAGTATAAAGTAAACAAAGTTACGCGGAATTTTTCTCTTTGGATTATCAAACTAATATCAGATAAGTTGTTAAATCCACTTTTATCTATATTTGTTAATTAATATTATTTTATTTGTTTTTATTATATTAATTAATAAGTCAATATTATTTTGATAACTATGTATTCAACTGAGAGGGAAATTCTAAAACAACATATTGGATGGAAAAATGGTTGGGAAGATAGGTGTAATTTTCCTTTTGTTAAGCAATTAATTAGGACAGATAAGATCAGTAACAATGTCATTTCCATTTTAATGACAGTCTTTAAAATAAGAAGTGATTTATTTAGTTTTATGAGTTTTCTTTTGCCAATTGATTTTGATATGCCTAGTAATGACGAGTTTGATAAAATGTGCCTAAAGTTAACACGCCAAAAAAAGAAATATAAAAAAATTTTTAAAGCTATAAAAAACGAAGAATTTTTTAAAATGCAACTGTCACAAGCTCCACCCAAAAAAAAAAAATCAGCAGATGCAGATGATTTTTTCACTTTAAATAACAGTCAGGAGCTACTGAATCAAATTGATCAATTAACTTCTGAAAATAAAACAAATATGGAGCAAATAGAAAAATTTTAAATGCAAGTATTTAAGTTGGAAGCTGAAATTACAGATTTAAATTCTAAAAATACGGCTCTCAACACACATTGTAACTCATTAAGTTCTCAATTAGAGACTATGAGTATTAGACTAAAACAGGAGGAGCAGTTCCAACTTAAAAAAAAAAAAAAAAAATTAAAACAGCTCAGCGTAAATTTGCATCTGCTCGTGCCAAAAATGTAAGATTGCTAAAAAAAATTAATATTGAAAAAATTGCAAAAATTAGTGATTTAAGCCAGAACAGTTGCCAAATTTGCAAATGTTTTGCTAGTAGCGATAAGGATTTAGTTGTGGTTGATTCTTATTTAGACTACGACAACATTGGTTCCTCTGAATTATTTTGTGGGTTTAAATTAAGTAATCCACAGAATTTATCAGTTAAAAAACCAATAGTAAAAAATATACTTACGTTAAGTTAAGAAATGGTAAACCTTATTCTAAGTTAGGTAGGCATGCTGCAGCTAGATGATCTAAACTTGCTTTTATATTCCTTCGATTATTAACTTGTTCAGATTTAGAAAGTGATTTGTCTATGTTGTTTTGTGATTCTATGTCTTGTGAAAAGTCAATATTTTGTTGTGTTGCAAATAAGTTGGGTTTAGTTAAGCAGTTAAGTGTTTCTGATGCTGTAGAGCTACATAGCCAATTAAGGATGCCCACGGCTGAATTCCTTAGACTAAGACGTATTCTGTGTAATTTTGGTGCAAGGATTCTCCCATCTGAGCCCAAGATAAGACAAGAACAAGAAATGCAGACAATGCATGTCAATAAAGAACATGTTACTGTTAAGTCCATGTTAATTTATCCATCTGCGAATGAAGCATTATCTGTACTGATGGTCAAAAATTTGACAACTTATATTGAAGAGGTTTTTAATAATCTTTATGTACGCGACCACCTTAATTCAGATGTCGGTTTTGGCGAAGAAGTTTGGCTCCTTTTTGCTAGTGATAAGGGTGGGAAGTATATGAAATTCTATTTTGAAGTTGTCAATTCTATATCATCAGGGTCTGTATACGATGTTCACTTGTTTTGTATGTATCAGGGTTCAGACTGTCGTGAGAATAGTTTTCAGGCATTTTGTCAACAACATTAAAAGAATTCAGTCGTCAGATTTTAAGCTAAAAGGCAAAATAGTCAGGTTGTTCTTAGGTATAGATTTTCATTTTATCGATCATGTTCTGGGACACCAGGGTTCAGCTGTATAAAACTGTATAAGTTATTGTTGAAGGAGTGTAAGACTTTAGATTGTCAAGCTGTTTCGTCTTTGTCGCATAATGAGAATGTGAGAACGAATAAATTGTGCTAAAAGCGTTAAATGTTCTAAAACAGCAGAAGCTTTACTTTATTAGGAAATCTACAGGCGCGTTGGTTAGCTTTTAATAAAAATATTTCTAAATTTTCTCTAAACTCCTCCAATTCCTCCAAAAAAATTTCTTTTATACTTAAAGATATGAAGGTTGAGCGACAAGCTTACCATGGTAATGTATTTGTAGGTAATCATTGCAAAATAGTATTAAGAAACCACTATAAACTTTGTAGTGTTATTGATGATGAAGCAATTAAAAATAGATTTGTACGTGTGTTAAGTGTTTTTAATAAGTTGCAACCTATTCTTTTTTGGCCAAAATTTCTTTCCGATGCTGAAATTACTGAGCTTCATCAATATATAAATTTATTTGCTATTGAGTTTCATGCTTGCTTTCCAAATGAAAGTATCACACGAAAAATGCATGAACTTATTTTTAATGTGCTACTATTTGTAAAATTCCATGAAACTATTGGGTTGCTAAGTGAAGAGGAGGGAGAGTGTTTGCATAATAGCGTAAATAAGGAATTAAGACAGTTGGATTCAGTAAGAAATCAGGAGCAGAAGCTGCATCTTGTTTTAAAACGCTTTGAATTGCACAGCAAAGCTGATAGGAAGCTTCAAGCCTCTAAGGTGAGAAAGTGTGTTGTGTGTTCTGAGCGTGGCGAAAATTCATTTTATAGACAAGGTCTTTGTCTTGTTTGTGGTCATCAAATTGAGTTAAAATATTTAAAAAATTAAAAATAACAACAACAAAAAAAAAACTATTTTCAAGTAAGATAAATTATATGAGATCTTTAATTTATATATAAGATAATTTTATTCTGTTCTAATATCTGTGTAATGTTAGTTTAAAATATTATTTTTTATTATATTGATTTTATATATTAGGTAGGTGCCCATTCTGTTCCTATCTTCAGAAGTTATTTATACCTATGCAATACCTTTGCTCAGGTTAAAGAATGGAATACTAGCCTTGCATCAAATGTATGTAAAAATCTAGCTTTTATATATTAACTTGTGATCAGAGCAACTGGTATGTTGGTTGGGTATCATCTTGTATGTTTGTGTATTTAATTTAAAAAATATATTGTCCTTCATTATATGTAACATTTTTTTATAGATATTTTACATATCCATTCGATGTTTATCACCAGAAGTTAGTTCTACCTTTGCAGTACCTCTGCTCTACATACCTCCTCGCTGGTTAAAGAATGGAATATAAATCTCATATCAAGTTGGTGTAAAAATTTAGTTCAATAAATTAAGAATTTGTAAACGTTATCAAAATTTTGAGTGGAGCAATTGTTTTTCTGGTTTAGCATGAGTATGAATCTGATATCAATTGGATGTACAAAGATAGTTTACAACTTAAAGAACCTATCAGTAAACTAACTGATTATTAAACAGTTTTTAATGGGAATAAAAACAAATTTTTAAAAGATTTCAATTAGCTATTTGTATATTCAAACACTTTATTTACTGAGAGAAGAGGCTATAGATTCAAGTGCTATAAAATAATTCTACTACCAAAAGCGAGGTTAATTCAAAAACTTAAACTCAAATTTGGTCATGAATTATTTTATTAGACTTGGTGAGTCTTTATTTATTAACAACTTAACACCATATTATTAGAACTGTATGCACAGAAAAAAAATAAATGCTTAAGCTTTAAATGTTTTGACTAAATATTCCAAAATCAAAATCTGGCTTTATTTTGCATTGCAATGAATTTATTGGGTTAGGAAAATAAGTTTCTAAAACAAGAACTCCTAGGTTTAAAAATGTACTCTTTTAACAGCTAATCCCCCTTTTAACTACATTTTTCATAACTTTGCGAAAAGTGCGGTTTGCTTTCAGACCTCAATAAAGTCTGTTTTAGCTATCCTTAAACAATTAAGTAAGGTTTTTTTGTTTTTATATTAGTCAAACAATGGGTATATTTGAGAATAACTATCAGAAATAAATTTTTCTGATTTTTTTCTGATAAAAAGTAACATCAAATTTCTTGAATTCAGCCAACTTCATCATTTGTCGCGTTTTTTTTAAACTTAAAGAAGTTTTTTTACTAATGCATTAAACATCGTAAGATGAAACATTTTATTGGTGTTTTTATTCTTTTTACAAAACAAAATTATCTTTAATATTTTAAAAGTTATAAAAGTTTTAGTAACACCTCTTAAGTCAATATTTTCAAAAAATAACAAGAAGCCGTTAAGCTCCGTTTGAAACAGCCGTGTATATAGTTGAAGATAAATAACGTTCAATAAATATATATATATATATATATATATATATATATATATATATATATATATATATATATATATATATATGTATATATGTATATATGTATATATAATATATATATATATATATATATGTGTATATATATATATATATATATATATATATATATATATATATACATATATATATATGTATATATATATATATATATATATATATATATATATATATAAATATGTACATATATATATGTGTGTATATATATATATATATATATATATATATATATATATATATATATATATATATATATATATAAATATGTATATATATATATGTGTGTGTATATATATATATATATATATATATATATATATATATATATATATATATATATATATATATATATATATATATATATATATATATATATATATATATACAGTTGTGAGCATGAAAATAGCAGTACCTGGAATATTTTGAAAACTATTGCGCAATTTTTTTTTACTTATTACTGAAAAAAATTTATTGCATTTATTTTGACACTTCAATCTAATAAAACAAAAAAAAATTACATCAATAATAGTTTTACATTTTATTTCAGAAAAAAAAACAATAATATCAAGAAAGCTCGCAGTCATTGAAATAGCAGTGGTATCTGAAAATAGAGAAAAAATTATTTTTATGGTATTAAACATTAAAATTGCAAACTTTTGAACATTATAAAGTTAAAAATAAGTCTAATATAACAATATTTACCCTTAGTATTTCGTTGCAAAACCTTTGTTTGAGATAACGGCTTCACAACGCCGATGCATTGAGTCAACTAGGCATTGACATTTTTCTGCTGGTATTGCGTACCATCCTTGTTGAGTAGCTTCCTATAACTGCTAAGCATTAGTTGGATTAGCAGTAGAAACTGCTTTTTTAACGTCTCCCCATAAGTTTTCAATGGGGTTTAGGTCAGGTGACTGAGCAGGCCACTCCATAACCTCAACCCCATTGACCTGAAACCACTCTTTTGCCTTGTGACTAGTGTGTTTTGGGTCGTTGTCTTGTTAAAAGACCCATTTTAACGGCATATCTTCATTAGCATAAGGCAGCATGACATTATTGAGGATATCGACATATATATGTTGGTCCATAATACCATTAATCTTATAAATAGGTCCGACACCATTATATGAGAAACAGCCCCATACCATGACTTTGGCTCCACCATGTTTTACAGACTTAATGGTATATTATAGCTGGAATTCTGTATTAGATGGACGTCTTACATATTGTCTTGAACCTGTACCTCCATAAAGAACTATTTTTGATTCATCAGTCCATAATACGTTGCGCCACTTTTCGATGGGCCAATTCAGATGTTGGTTTGCGAACTGCAAACATTTAGCGGTCTGTTTTTTTGTCAACAAAGGGACCTTTCGTGGACTGTGTGCATACAAACTTTTCTCTCGTAAGCGTCTACGAACTGTTGTTTCACTCACCTGTAGGTCAAGGTCATCTTTGACTTGCTTGGCCGATGAAAATGGTTTGCTTTTAACAAATCTAACAATTCTTCGGTCTTCTTGCGCGGTAGTCTTACGTTTCCCCCCTCGTTTTTCAACTTTTGCTATATAATTTATGGCATTTGAAATCATCTTTGCTGAACATCCAAGAATATTTTGTATATATGAGTAAGATTTACCATCTCTATAGTGTTTCAAAATAATGTTGCGTTCTGCTGGTGTACAATGATGTCCTCGGCCCACTTTGAAAGGTTTAGAAAACAATTTTACCATTACGCATACTCAAATAAATAAAGAATATGTTATAATTGAAGTAGTACTTACTTTTTCAACGAAAAATACTAAAATCTCTTTAAGTTTTGTTAACTAACTTTAAAATTAATACAACCACTGCTATTTTAATGCATTTTGTCAATTAGAATATTTTTATTAAAAATAAAGATATTCTACAATGTAATGAATTCTCATTTGCTCAATTTATTTATCTCATTCTAGTACATACACACATAAAAAATTAGCCCTTCTGTATTAACA